CATTGGCTATATATGAATATCTAGAATATCAGGGCTATTACCAAAAACAAATTTGGAAAGGATATTAAATCTCATGCTTTAATGCTCAAGTGATTTGCTGTTAGAGAACCGGCTATTAGAGGACCTTTGGGTGAGTTATACTTCACCATTCACTAGAGATTCCTGTATTTTCCTTAGAAAGGTCTAGTAGCAGTCACTCTAAGAAATGGATTGCTGAGCCAGATACACTTCCAGTTTTATCATATAGGGCAGTTCTTTTCCCCTGGCTCCAGGCCAAAGAATTGTATGGATTCTAAGAAACGTAGTTGTGTGTTCAAGTTTGTGGAGATGAATTATTTGTATAGCCTTTAAGTTAAGCAATCAGCTTTAAAGGCAACTCTACGAATACATACCCATTGATTAAGACAGACAAAAAGCCTTTATCAGTAAGTGATTCGCAAACTGGTTGCACGCCCGAGTTCTGGTCTGGAGCTGCTTTTCCCATCTAAAATAAAATACTGCTCTACACTGAATAGTCTTTCGCCAGTTGCAGTTATATTTCAGGCCTGAAGTAATTCTTCCTGTTATGTGCAAATTCCTGTTTTGGTCATTGCAAGCTGTGTATAGTAGTATACAGCAGTCAGAAGAAACCCCTTTTTGACTTAATTTCACTGTATTTCATGTTTTTCCGAGTCATTTGTGCCATTTCATGCCAGTAATTTTACAGTTTTATTTTCTTCAGGGCAATTCTTGCTCAGGATTGATACCCATTTACTAGGCTTACCTTAGAGTTTTAAATATTCAGCCATTCTCTTGTGACCTAGTGATTTTCTTCCCCATAATCTTTTGACATCGTTCATGTGCTTGAGACACGAGGAAAACATCCTTCAACACTAAAAGCTACATGTAGTGAAGGGGGAATTCAAGTTTTTAGATTTCAAACCTTGTATCCTTGTATCACCAGTTTGGGGGGAGAAAAAAAAAAACACACCAAAAAAAACCATCAAGGCAGACAAGTACTGTTTCATATTAACATCTATCGTCAATGAAGAGGTAAAAATCAAAGCCTGTGTGTGAGGCAGGGTTAGTGAACTGCCAGTGATTCTCCCAGCAACTGACACAAAGGAATCTGTGAGTATCAAAGCTGAGGCAGCAAGCTTAGTGTCAGTTCTTGCCTAGGGAGTAGAAGAAAACATCACTTTGTCTCTGCTTTCACTGCTTAAACACACACATCATTCACTAGTAACCATTTACTCTGCTGTCAAAACTGTTTCAAGAGAGTGCTACATTTGATTAATAGTAAAATGGATGCAAAAGAAAAAAAAGGCTGCTTCCCCTGAGGTACTTCTGTTGGGAGAATTTTCGCATGTACTTCTTAATTTTTCCAACCTATAAATATGCCTGTAATGTTCGAGTACTCTATTGCTTCTAGTAAAGTAATTTTTATTAGAGAGCTTGGTGTACTCATCCTAATTCTAGTTAATGCTCTCCCTCTCTCTCTCTCAGTGAACCATATTATGGCATCCTCAGCCTCTTGTACTAACGAAAAAGTGACCAGCACAACCATGTGTGCAGTACATGATTCATAGTGCTGCTTTCTGAATTGTCCAGTGGGTAATTGTAGTACAAAAACCAGAGAAACAGATGTAGACCCTAAACCTTGGCTGTAAATTTTTGGTTTATGATTATGGGTTTCAAATGTGCTATGTCACACTGACAAATATACAGTAACACCAAAGGAAATAGATTTCTGACTTGAGCTTGAGCTTTTTATTTTACTTATAGCTAAGAATATGTTTATTGTAAAGTTTCTGCTATCACAGTCTGAGAGAAAACAGGTATAAAGCAATGATGTGAAATCACAATTTCTTTGCATGGATAAAGTGGAACATATTGGAGAGCTGTTGCCTCCTTTGCCTCCTTGAACCTCTGGGTAGGTATTTAAAATATGTGGCAATACCTAAAGTTTCATTACGTTTGACTTATAGGGCTATTAGTTATCAAAATAATTATGGTTAGCCCTGATCTAAATTAGAAAATATCCCCCATTTTATGATTTTTTTTCCTGATACTCTGTTTAAAAAAAATGAGTATCATACTATTTCAAAGTGAAATACGAGATGCATAGATTACTGTGTTGTAGAAATAATATGAGAGCAAACCATTGGGCTGTTTGAGGAATTTGTTAATTACATGTGGCTTTAGTAACAAGTATAAGAATTAGTTCAACTATTATTCATAATAAAGCATGAGCTACCTGGCTCATTTAGATACACTGAGAAAAACTAATCTTTTTTCAGTTCGTACACAATGAAGCGTGACTTCCCGACATTTACTTCCAGAAGTTGCCAGTCAACGTTTTGAGTATAACCAACAGGTTTTATTTTTGAATATAGTATTCTAAGACTGCTAATGGAAAAAACATAACTGTATGTTTCTGTTTGTCTGATTTTGTTTACTTTGACTCACATGGGCAACATGTTTTTCTTGGCATAAGCTTAAATTGTTCCGAGAACCTTGGTCCACACAAAAAGCTGTTTTCTCCCTAAATTGGAGACTGACAAAACATACTGTGTTTTATGTCATCCTTTCCAGTTATTTTTGTGGTGACACATTATATATTCCAAACTTCTCGTGTGTCCCATGTCCTCTGGTTAGAAAATACTGTCTTTTAATTTAGCTTTGCTATTCAAAACAAAATTGTAGCAACACAGCCAGCTGAGATATAAACAAAAATTTAGCCACTTTTCCACTTGCCTTTTTAATACAACAAACACTGTTTGCTGTGCTGAAATGGTTTAAACAAGCCTTCCCTGAAGGGTAGGGTTTTTTTGTAAGCGTATGCTGTGCATAAATTTTGGATTAGGGACTGTCAGGGGCTTCTTCAGCTGGAGGGGTTCAGGCTAGGGGAGGACACCCCAAAGGGCTGAGAAAGTCCTTAAAAAGTCCTTAAAAAGAAGCTGTTAAACTCTAGCATTTGTAACTCTTCTGCCTGAAGGGAAGACGGGAAGAAAGGCTGCCTGCTCCACGGACAACCACAACTCTCCCGTAGAGGGGAAGGAGGCTAAGAAAAGCTTTTGTTTTTATCTCTTCAAAAGGATTCGCTTCCAGATTGCAGCAGCTCTTTTTGCTGGCCTCTGGTTTTCAACGTGGGTGTATCAGTTTCAGGGAACAAGTGCGTGTGCTGTGTGGGGGGTTTTGTTTTGTGGGTTAGTTTGATTTTTTTTTTTTAATTCTTGAACCTGTGTGAAAAGTTTTGTTAATACAATCTGCAGGCATTGTCAGAGAGCTTTCGGTTCATCAAAGGACTTTTTGTGGAGAGGGGACACCACATCCATTAAAGTGGCTGCGCAGGTCCCAGGGTGAGTCTCTCTCCAGCATTTCTTTACGGTTGCCAGTGGTGCGCCATGCCTGCGCACAGTGTCCCCTTCTCTGCCCGACCCCCACGTTGGGCTTTGCAAGAAACAGGCAATAATCAAGCGTTTCGTTGTCCAGTGTCCGAATCTGAGCTTCCTTGGAGTGGGAAGCGAGGCTCCTCTGTGCCTTGCTCCTGGATGATGCTCACTCTGCTGGGGCTGAGGTGGCTTGGCTCATTCGTTTAAAATGAGAGCGTGCATGTGGTTATTGAGCTCATGTTCTTTCCACTGGGGCAAAGGGAGCGTTTCCAGGCTGTTTTTAATTTTTAAATTGTCCATAGGAATGAGGACTGGTGGAAGCCTCAATGGAGTCTTTCTCACTGAGCAAGACTTTGCAGAAGGTAGTCATTTACCTAAAAAAAAACCCAGAGGTCTCTGCTGGCCCGCTGCAAATGGTGGGCCAGCACAGGCCTGGCTGTGGCATCCTCACCACACACCTGTGAAGGCTTTGACACCTACTCCTGCCATGAGGGAGAGCTGCCGGCAATGTGGTTTTGTAGAGACCATGGTGGGGTTGGGGCAGCCCCTTGACTCCAGAACGGCTGTGAGGGGGTGGCTGGGGCTTCCTGCCCTAGGGAGGGGGCAGTCACAGTGCCCCTGCTCAGCACCATGGGCTGGGTTCTGTTCCCCATGGCTTAGCTCGTGGCCTTTCTCCCCTCCCGGGGAGCTGGGGCTCATTAACCCTCTGAAAGCTGATACAGCCCCTCCGGGGCCACGGGAGCGGCCCCAGCCCCTCTCTGCTAATCAGAGACAGGCAGGACCCAGCGGCGGGGCTGAGAAGGGAGAGGAGGCGATGCGTGGTTGCCTCCTGCCCTAGGCTGAGTGGTGGGGACAAGCCCTCCCGGGCAGTGCCAAATCTGGGCCATCGGGGAAGCCAGGGAGTGCTGGGTGATTTAGGAGCCAGTGTGAGGGAGGGTGGTGAGGAGACATGGGGCCTGACCCCCCCCACCCCCCATCCCCACGCCCCAGGAGGGACGGGCCCCTGAGATTCCCCGCTGGGAGTGGGGCTGGCACCGGCCATCGTCTCTGCGAGCGGTATTGAACGGGGTCCCTGCGGGTGGCATTGAGCGGGGTCCCTGCTGGCGTGTGCCGGGCCAGCGCTGGGATGGGGCTGCTCCGAGCCCAGACCCGCCGCCCGAGAAGCCGGGGAGAGTCCGCGTCCCTGGCTGTGGAACAGCGGCAGCGCCTTCGCCTCCGTCTTGGCCTCTCCGGGGAGGAAAGGAATGTGGGGAGGGCGGGGGGAGGCACAGAAGTTTTAGAAAATTCGAACTGGAACTTAAAAATCCTCCGTTCCCTACAACCGCTGGAAACACCGCTGTTTGTTTCCCCACCCCGTTCCCCTTCTCTTCAGTGTTGTTTGGGGTTTTTTGTTTGTTTGTTTTAATTACTTTATTATTTTGGGTCTTTTTGGAAGTTGGGCTCCCCGTCCACGCCCGCCCGTTCGGCGGCAGCGGGGCGACTCCGGCAGGGCTGGGGCTCGCCTTTGCCTGCCCGCCTGCCTTGCCTGCCTGCCTGCTTTTTTGCAGGGCTGCTGGGAGTTGTGAAGGCGTGTGAGAATCCTGGGAGCTGGTGATGTCAGACCGCTTGGGTCATTTGAAGGTTAGCAGCCTGGGAAGGGTTCATGGAAAGTTCACTCGCATATATTAGGCAATTCAATCTTTCATTCCCTGTGACACAAGTAGTAGGAAGTGAGCTGTTCAGAGGCAGAAGCATCTATTCACGGCCGAGGGGGATCCCGAGCCTCTACCGGAGCTGTTTTATCCCGGGGAGGTGGGCGATTGGCACGGCGTGGGACGCGGCACGCACCCGGCGATTGCCCCAGGAGCTGGACTGACTCTCAAGAAATTTTGGGGGAAATTTGGTGGTAGCTAAAACTTGGAATGCGGCTTGCATCCCCCCATCTTGCTGGATTGGCTGGGCAGCCTGGAAAATGGTAAATGATCATTTGGATCAATTACAGGCTTTTAGCTGTGTTGTCTGTCATAATTCATGATTCTGGTCTGGGAAAAAGACCAACAGCCTACGTGCCAAAAAAGGGGCAGAGTTTGATGGAGTTGGGTGTACTTTTATGTGCCATTTTCCTCCACACCTAGAGGAAAGCACTTTTGCAGGCATTCTGTGCAAGGGGAATCATGTTTGACTGTATGGACGTTCTAGCAGTGAGCCCTGCTCAGATGCTGGATTTCTACACTGCGAGTCCGTCTTCCTGCATGCTCCAGGAGAAGGCTCTCAAAGCATGCTTCAGTGGATTGGCACAAACAGAGTGGCAACACCGGCACAGTGCTCAATGTAGGTCCCAACTGTTATTTTTCCACTTTAAAGCAATTACTATAATTATTGTTGTTGTTGTTATTATTTCATTTATTTATTTATTTGCATGTATTTAAAAAAGAAAGACTCGTAATTAAGTGCAGAGGTAATGAGGGGTGGGGTGAGCTTTTGTGCAAAATGTGGTTTGCAAGCTTTTTTTTCTCCATTTGGCAAGGAGGGAAAAAGGAAAGAAGCACCGGACTTCTTTCTGTTTATCCCTTCTCATGTGGCACACTGATCCTAAGAACAGTTGTGGAGCCAAACAGGAACACATAAAATTGTAATGTAATACAGCAAATACTTGCAAAACTCCAGCCAGTGAAGGATGAATTTACATAACATCTCTGTGGTTGCTATTTTTTTTTTCTCCTTAATCTAATTTTGTAGCACATTTGATAATCAGGATGCCTGTTGTCTCAAAGTGCATTTTAGCAGAGCAGCCAAGCAATTAAAATGCTGCTCTCTACAGTTTTTGCAAAGATGTGGAATTGCAGCGGGTAGGTGCCATTCCAAAAATCAGACAGAAGTTTTAAGTTTCCGAAGAAAAGGCAATATTTCTTTGTACTGACCTTGCTGCCACCTTTCTTCTTCACTTTGTTGCTCTAAGAAGTTGCTGTTTTGCTAGAAAACTACTTACTGTGAACACCCTTTGAGTTTAACCATCAATTATTTCTATACCTTGAAATGCAGACAGCGTTGCACTGGTAACACAGGAGCGAGAGTTAGTGGTGTGACACTTCTGAAAATGTACTGTTATGTTATAGGGCCTTGATTTGTTGCTGAAATATATAGTTGGTAAACAATAGCAGTATTTTAACACCTAAGTTTAAAGTTAGAGAAATGACAAAAAGTGCCAGAAAACATTACCTTATACTCTGCATAAGAACTTGCAGGATGCTTCACTGCTCTGACGGTGATTTAGATAAATGACTTGGCTATCTATCAAAATGTTTTTAGCACGCTCTCGGGCACTTCAGTACACCATTAACTGTATCAATCTGTTTTGAATTTTTGTTTCGCAGTAAGTTAAAAAGTTAACCAGGAATAAGAAGAGCTCTCCCTTCAGTATCTCTGAAGGGTGGAGGGGGGAATTGAAAAATAAATTTAAAAATGTTTGGTGAAATAATGTGTTTCACTCTGCTCAAAAGTTTTCAGTCACCATATGACGTTTGTGTGGGTTGAGTAATGAAAACAGAATTGTAAAAAACAGTGACTACCAGCCTACAACACTGGAAATGTTTTGATATCTTTACAATTAAAAGGAGACTGTGAAGCATGGGATATTTATTTTCTTCGCGCTGTTTTCAAAATGCTTCAAATAAGTTATGAAACAAAGCTTTTACTTCAAAATAACGTTACTAGCTACGGGAGAGCCTCAGTTAGCAAAAACAAAAATCCAAACCAGATGTTTTACTAAAAATGTGTTTTCCTCCTTTCATGGTTTAAAGTGTAGTATAACTTCAGCGGTGATATTGTGGAAACTTGGAATTAAATAAACTTTGCTGGAGTAGGAGGCATATACTGTTGTTAAAAACTTAAACTCGCAAAATATTTTTGAAATAACTTCTGGTTTTAAAATGTTCTGCTCATTCTTTTGTACGTTGTTAATACCTAGAAGCAGGATTCTTAAAAACAAAATATATGGTGTTTGTTCTTGGGCAAGTTAAACACGGGATTACCCTTATCAGAATGGAATGGGTGGTAAATATGTCATTTGCCTAGGGCCTGTGATAAGAGACAAGTGTTGATAACAGCAAAGTTTAGCTAATCAAAGAAACTCATATTAACAAGAGTAAATAAAAATACAGGAAAATGCATTCAGGAATCCAGTCCTGTAACTTTGTAAGCAATTGGATTAATCTTCACTGGATGGGAATTTAAAATTGGGCCGAAACCTGAATTATAACACGATGGCTGTAATTTGAACTGTGAAAGTTAATGGAATAGAAATGTGGAAAAACAATTTAGTTAAGGTCCAAATTAAGATTACTGTTTGATTACTAGAGCAAATTTTGTTTTCAATTTTGAAGAAAGTGTAAGCAGTTTATGCATATGAGTAAATATATAAATGGATTTTAAAATACTAAAAGTCTCTCAAAGTGTAAGATTTTTATCTGGCATCTCATGAAAATAATCACAAAACCAGCTTTTTTGTGGTCCAGAAAGCTTTTAATAGTTTAAAGGTTGCTCCAGTGCTTATAAATACAAAGATAGCAATGTTTAATTCTAAGTCGAGCATTTCCTGATTCTCCCTTTTTAAGAAGATCTCAGTGATTTAATGGAATGTAATAATAGCCAAGTTTTGTCATTGTTAGATGTGTGATAGGTTTTTTTGGTCTACTTTGTTGTTTTAGTTTTGGTTCTGAGAAAAAAAAAAAAAAGGCAGTACACCTGCAGCCCTTGCTTTAGGCCTTGGAAATATTGCTTTGATAGAGACATAATTGTAGAATAAAACGTAAATGGTTGTTGAGGGAATAGTACATGGATAGTGCAGACTCAGAGCAGGCCAGTAACAATCCCAGACAGCATCAGGGTTTCAACTGAAACGCTGGCAAAATTGGCCATTGCAGAGTTTAGGGCAGAATGCTGTAGGTCTCCAACTTCAGCACATCTTCAGTACGTTAATCCTATTACGATTCACTAAGCTAGCGCACTCCTGCAGCATCATGAATTTTCTAGTCCACGAGGGTCTGCAAAGTAAAAATAGAGGATAAGGCACAACCCAAACATGACCTTAACTTGTGTGGTATTTTTTTCCTCTCCCCTGTGGGAGGAAAAATCTGCCATGGGTTTGCAGTGCAACTGTTAGCCATTGCGTACTGTGTGATGTTTTACAAGCAAGCAGAAAACCCCCCTAATTTTGTACTCATATATGTTGATGATTGATGTGATATTAGTTAGTAGATTTAAAATGAAATTATTTGTTTGCAAAGAAAATTATGGACTCAGAAATGAGAGTAGAACCAACTGCACTTATAATTGTAATTCATTCTCGCTCCTTTTGTCATAAGATAAAAATCAGGTCACTATAATCAAATTAGACAAGGATAGTTCTTAGAAGGACAAAAGAGTTGAGATTGCAAGAATGAATGATCTATAGCTTCTTAAGTAAGCTAGAATTTTCTGCTCCCTTGTAGTGCAGCGGCAGCAAACACAGAGAAAACCAGTAACTTTTGGTGAAACGTGAGCTAACTAAATACTGCGGAAGTGGGAACAGGACAGGTCCTGAGAGAAGAGCTGCAAAGAATGGTGATTTGACCTTGGAAAAGCCTATTAAAAAAAGTCTTCATTAGTCTTCATTAATTAAACAGGCAAAAAACCAAATGAGCAGGCCCAAAACAAGAGGAAGTTTGTTTGGCATTACGTAGTGTTTCAGCTAATTATATCAAGTAGAAGACTACTGCCTACTGCATTTCCTTATGAAAAATTTAATGAAGGCAAAAGTTATGGATATGGCAGCAGAACACACTGGGATGTTGGGGCTCGTGTAGTATTCAGTTCTTATTTCAGTTTGGTAGGAGGTGTTTGCCTAGAGAGGAGCTAGCAATAATTAACTTTTAGAAAGTTCATGAGGATGGGACTCCAGAAGGTGCATGTTTTCCTTCAGAATTCTGGATTATTGCAATGTTTCAGTCAGGTTCTTATTCCCTGCAACCACTTGGAAACATCTGTGCTCAAAAAAAAAAAAAAAAAAAAAAAGCTCACTACTTTATTTTCTTTCATCTTTCTGAATTTAAAAACAAACATTTTGAAGTGAAGGACTTGTAATCTGCATTCCCAAGTATCAAATTGCTGCAGGTGTGTTTGCTAGTGCCCAGAAGGCAAGATCTGTTTGAACCAGGTTATTTTCTTTAAAGTTCATCTATAAACTTTACAGCTAAATCTCTAGGATTGATTTGCTTAGGGATACAGTCTTTGTTTAAATTTTTATATTTCTAGCTTAATGCCCTGAAAAATGTTTGTTTCTGATCCACTGCGTAAAAAAAAAAAAAAAAAGTGGGGATGTTTTTCTTCCAAATTAATTGAAGGGAGAAAACTATTCTCAACGTAGTTTCTAATGCAGTTAGCCTGATTCGTCTGATGGCACAGGAAAGCTCTAAGGGACACGCACCACTGTCAAAAACTCCTGCAGACAAAAACGATGAGAGGCGTTCGCTGGTGAAGTCGGGGTGGAATAAGCTTGGAGGAAAAACAATGCATCTTTGGGTGACTCCCTGCTTGCCTAATGAGTCTGTGCAGCAAAGGTGCAACTTGTAAGAACAAAGCCGGGCTGGTGAGTCCATGCCTTGAAGAGGGTTACGGTGAAGTTAAGGAGTTGAAAGACAGAGATAGTGTTTCAGAGACAGCGAAGTTAGTCATCCTCACATCCAGTTAAATCCCCACTTACTACTGAGCCGTTTTTCTTAACCATGTGTGCTTCACACCAGCACTGCAGCCCAGCCAAGGTGAGGGGCTTTGCTCAGGGGTGCGCGGGGAGTGAGGCGCCCTGGTCGGCGGATTACGGTTCCACCTCCCCTAAACACGCCAAAAGACTGGTTTTGCTCAGGTCTAATTTATATACCGCCCTTTACACAGCGGATGAAGTGCGGCTGTGTTACATAGCCAGCATTTAGATTTGGGAGTGGGGTTGTGAAAGGGACATTGTGCTCAGAAGGACTGCTGTCTGCCACGGTCCAGCCGCGCTATGCCCCATCCTATTGAGACCTCAAAAGCAGAGCACAGCTGCGATGAGTTTCCAGATCTGTTTGGCCGTGGGGACCGGCACTGGTATGCGTGCGAGCTGGGGGGGAACTTCCCTCTCCCCTCACAGTTTCTGCCTAGGGGGCTGGCAGCAGCCTCTCAGCAGTGAATTTACAGGGGCGGGCGACTGGGGCCAAATTAGTTGTGGTTTCAGAGGGTTTTCCAGAGCTCTGCTAGGCTGTAGCACGCAGCCCCATGAGGAAGGATATCAGTTGATGTATAAAATGGCCAAGGAACTT